GCCCGCCAAAGTTTTTTTCGGGTAAGTTGATAACTCGAGTACCTGAAAAGCTAAAGGATTGTAATTCCCCGTCCACCTAAGTCTCATCTAGCTCAAGCCCAGCCCTCGAGTTTACGTGATATCCACGCAGGGACCCACCAAAGCCCTTCTCGGGTAATTTGCTAACTCGAGAACCTGAAAAGCTAGAAGACTGTAGTTTTAAGAGGATGATCCTCGTTCACGTAAGTCAACGAGCTCAAACCCAAACATCGGGTATGCCTGGTACCCACGTACGGGCGCGTGAAATTTTCTTCCAGTAAGTTGTTAATACTCAGGAGCCAGGCAAGCTAGAAAGCTGAAATTTTAAGGGGTTGTTTTTTGACATTTCTAGCGGCCAGTCTTAATTTGTTTAGCTAAAAGCATTTGCCGAAAAAACCGGTGCCGGCAGCGACAAAAATTGCGGGGAACTATGAAAAAAAAGCATCTTCGCATGGGCAGCCCCTGCGTTGGCCAATTATTTGTTATGTTCGTCAACATACGCTTATCATATACATAGGGGTAAGAAGTTGTGTACTGATGATTCCCACTCCTACGAGTATGCTACGTTTACAACTGAAGGATAGAACACAGACTGCATCCAGACATGTCCGCATGCACATGACGCTTTATTTGATCCCTCGTCTCCTATCCTATTATTCTTATTTTTCCGTCTTCCAAAATGAATTTAAACGGCATGTTCGAGTGCGTGGCATTTGTCTGGAACTGCCGATATCCACTTCGATCATGCGTGAGTTCCGCTGCAATTCCGCTACATCCGTACGTGTGCATGTCACGTTCACGTGCAGCCCAGAGGTGCACTGGCGTGTATGTGTCTGCTTGTGATTGATTGCTCTCCGGCATCTGCTTTGTTCCTGATCGGTGGGCCACCGGCACTCCCACCTTTCACACTCATCAGAACAGTTTGCTGGTGCTCGCCACTGCTCCGTTTCCACTGCTTTTCCGAATTTTTGTCGGCAAATTTGTTTTGATTCGAATTTTTGGGGATGTGTACTGACTGAGAAATATGACGTTAGTTGTGTGATGGTTTTATATGTAGAAGAGGGGGAATCAATGCAGCCACCTACTCGCTGTGTAAGTTATGGGCAAGTTGAAGTTTTTATATCAGTAGCTACAAAGAGATGTGAGGGAAAGTGG